GACTGATCCTCGATCTGCTACAGTTGGAAACTCTTTATCTTCGTTTCCTTCTGCTTACGTGCTTCAAACCCTTCCACAGTCCACTTGCTTTGCCGCAAATCTTCCCAAAACACTCCGTTGCCACGAAGTTTCAAACCCCAAGAAACATTTCAATCATGTCGCGCACTAGAGTCTTGCTGGTTGGAGCAGCCGGTGAGACTGGCGGCTCAATCGCAAATGGACTCCTTGAGAACCCAATCTTTGTGAGTCTCCCGCTTGCTGAATTATTCTCGGGAAAGGATAGCACCGTATTCTGACTGCAATATCACTTACAGGAAGTCTATGCGCTTGTTCGTCCCCGATCGGTCCAAAAACCTGCCATTGTGTCCCTGCAAGAACGAGGTGTGAAAGTGCGCAGATGCGATCTGAGAGGCTCAGAGGAGTCACTCGCCGAAGCGCTTACAGATATCGATATTGTCATCAGCTGTGTCGGTCCCGCCGAACAACAAGACCAGATTCCTCTTGCAAAGGCTGCGAAAAAGGCTGGTGTCAAGCGATTTGTCCCATGCGGTTTTATCACAGTGGCTCCGCCCGGCGGCATCATGTGGTTGAGAGATGAGGTAAGCTGAACCATCCTGACTGTCTTCCTGTAAATTTTTGAAGATGTATTGACGTGTGGTTCTACTCTCCAGAAAGAGACTGTTTACAATCACATCAAACAACTCTGGCTTCCATACACCATTGTCGATGTTGGTTGGTGGTACCAGCTTTCGTACCCTAGACTCGAGTCCGGACGAGTAGACTATGCCATGACCACGGCAAACAACGAGATCGTGGGAGACGGCAACACTCGCACTGCCTTGACGGACCTGAGAGATATCGGACGCTACATCGCCAGAATTATCGTGGATGATCGGACATTGAACAAGATGGTTTTCGCGTACAACACAGTCGTGACCCAGAACCAGATTTACGATATGCTCGAAGAGATCGGCGAGGAGAAGATTCAAAGAAACTATGTAGGTGTTGTTGGTCATCTTGCACGGAATTTCTGTCTAACAGATTGTTTTCGACAGGTTTCGGAAGAGACTGTCTACACTCGAGTTCTTGCGGCCCGCCAGTCTAGCGAGACCTATCCCTTTGATCCAGTCAAGTTCATTCCTCGATACCTTGCCGAATACCAATTGTCTTGGGGTATTCGCGGCGACAACAACCCGGAATACGCAAAGTATCTGGGCTACCTGGACGCGAAGGAGCTCTATCCCGATTTCAGACCAACCGACTTCCGAGAGTATCTCGAGACGGTCGTTAGAGGCACCGCCAAGGGTATCTACACAGACCGTACCATCTCGAGAGCTCAGCAACGGGAATTCCCACGGACAGAGTCTAGTGACTCGCTGTACACTCGGATCTTCCCCAGGGCTGAGTCGAGCGATTCGCTATACATGAGCAGATAAGCGGTCCTTTCCATGTTGAACGAGTATCAGCAGCGACAGAAGGCGACGCTAGACGTGCCCTGTGAGCTGCGCCAAGTTTCATGTCTTTACGACTTTGCGTCGTCTGGGGCAGACTGGCTTTGCTCTGGTCCTGAGACTCGCCTCATTGTTTCTCCTCTTATGTGATTCACCCCTCGGTTTTTAGACTGTGCTGGCGTTTGACTTGTATTGATGTCTTTATTATCCTTTTGTCCCCTTTCTATTCTAGACGCTGGCTACAGGGGAAAGTCGGGAAACAAATCATTGATACCACCACCTCTACTTCATTACCGGGTCCAACAAATCATAGAACCGTGTTTTTTTTTTCTATGGCCAACCATCTTTAATCCTCCAGCGGACTCCTAGATTCCTTGCCAAAGCAAAACACTTCTGAGTACTTATTTTAGCAATCCATAATGCATTGACTATAGAATCACCAGCTCTGCGCAATCCCAGTCTCTAAGGCTAGCTGTTGAAATTCATCCGCAAGGCATCAGCACTGGGAAATGCAGTGTTTATCGTCCCTTCCATTTTTATTTTAGCTCTGTTCGCCTTCAACCCTTGAGAACTCGCAACACTCTCGGTTTTCCCAAATGCACTGTCAGTATGTATCTCGCTATTCTCTACTTCTCATTGAGATCAGACGGGGCCAAATGAAGGATGCCAGCCAGACATGTCTCAGGATAATGCACAACACTCGATCAGCAACCGAATCCGAAGTCTCCATGAAGCAGCACCAAGTGAGTCTGGCTCCACAAGGATACGAGTCTTTGGAGTCCTGATACCACGCCAAACTACGATGATAGGTTTGTCTTTCTCAAGGAGTTCGGAAGTCTTCGAAGCCTTTGCTCACAGACCTCTAGCGATCGGCGGAGCTATCAACACCGGATTGATGATTGGAGCCGGAAATGCACTTTCAAAGTAAGGCACAGCCAACATAGATCGCCCATGAGCTGCAGTTAACACTGTCGAAGGGCCGGGGTTAGTATTCGTTTTAGGCGAGATGATAGGTTCGCGATGCTGATCTGTCAAGCCTGCCGCGATTGTCATTTCTTACACGACTGTGGGTATAGTTGTCTACTTGACCCTGTGTGCGCTAGGAGAGGTTGCTGCTTGGTTTCCTGAGCCATCGACTGCTGTGGATCATGCCATTCGGTTCTGTGACCCTGCCGTTGGCTTTACACTGGGTTGGAGGTACGGCTTCCCCTCATGATCAGTCTAACTGAGCTGAGACGCTGATACAATCTTTCCAACAGCTACTGGCTCAAATACTTGGTTGTTACTCCCAACCAATTGACTGCGGCGGCGCTCGTGATATCATATTGGCTCGATGCAGAGGATGTAAACCCCGGGATTTGGGTTACTGTATTTCTCGTAGTCATCAGCTCTGTGAACTACTGGGCCGCTCACTTCATCGGACCATACGAGTTCGCTCTGTCATCTTTCAAAATCCTGGTCTTGTTTGCGCTTACAGTGCTCTCGGTGGTCATTGCACTTGGGGGCGGACCGGATCACGATAGAAGGGGTTTCAGATACTGGAGCGACCCAGGCGCCTTTGCTTCCTACGGCGAACATGCACTGGTGGGAAAGCTACAAGCCGTGTGCAAGACGATGCCGTCCACAATATTCGCGTACTTGGGTAGTGAGCTCCTTGGGATGACCATGCTGCAAACCGGGAACACACCCAAGGCTGCAGGGCGCGCCATCAAGCTCACATTCTATCGGATCTTAATTTTCAACATTGTCAGCGTAACGCTGCTCGGTATGCTCATTCCATACGACTCCGAAGACTTGGCCTTTGCGAGCAACGCCTCCAAGCCGACGACTGTCTCTGTCTTTGTGGTGGCAATCAGAATGGCCCATATACCGACCCTTCCAAGCATTCTAAATGCGTGTTTTCTGCTGTTTGTTCTATCAGCTGCTAACCAAGCCCTTCATATGGCGACCCAGACCATCCGCGGGCTGTCGCAGGAACAAAAAGCCCCCTCCTTCTTCTCAAGAACCGATAGTAGGGGAGTACCTGTCTATTCGTTGGGCACATGCGCCATTCTAGCATCATTGGCATATCTAAACATTTACAACGACTCCAAGGTTCTTTTCGGGTACTTTGTCAACATAATCACCATGTTCAGCCTTCTCACTTGGATCTCAATCCTGATCACGCATATTTCATTTGTGCGCGCGCGCAAGGCCCAGAAAGTCCCTGACTCGGCGCTGGCCTTCAGAGCTCCCTTCGGCGCTTGCGGGTCATGGGTCGCTCTGATGAGCTGCATTCTCCTTTCACTGATGAGAGGCTTGGATGTCGCAGAGCTAGCCACTCATCCAGAAGCATTCGACTATATGGCCTTGATTACATCTTATGTCGCTGTTCCTCTCTATCTGTTCCTTGTCATTGGATACAAGGTCGTGACCCGATGCAAGAGCGTCAAGCCCGCTGAGGCTGATCTCTGGACCGTTACAACAATTCGTGAGCGGCACGATACAAAGCCAAAGTCTCCAAAACGGGACGATCGGGCGTTGGCAGAGCAGGACCAATGGTTGTGGAATCGTTTCGTTGCAGCATGGTTGTTGTGATGTCGTTTTCGCTCATGACCATGTGCGCAATATGTAACTTTCGCTATTCATAGGACATTATTAAACGACCTTTTTTTCGCCTATACCTGATAATGACTGTCTTGGTTTCTCCCAGACTTCTCCCCTCCCTCGACAGTACGTGGCTCAGTCTCAGCCCGAGTGATCTGGCTTGGCGGTAACAACGTGCTCCACGTTGTTTGTTTACCCAGCAACGGCAACGGATGCATTACAACCACGAGGGTCTGTCTAGGACGGCTCAGAACAACATCGTGGTCCATATGAAGGACTCCCTAAGAGGATCCTCCTGAAGATAAGAAAAAGTAAAATTGACCACGTCATATCTCTGACATCTCATGATGGATCCGCAGCGGAAGGCGCCAATATCCGAGAATATGATTTGCTGGGAATGGAGAGAGGCCCCAATCTCTCGTGTGGATTATGGAAATGACGGACGCCGTCAACTCTCTTCATTCTTCTGCATGAACCAAGGAACAGACTGTTAGATAATTGAGTGATGATAATGATAGGTAAGTTTCTTAAAGTTTCCAAGGTACTTCGTACCGCCGTCAAGACGAAAAGAGTATGAGCTACTTGAGTACCTAGTACTTTTGTATCAGTCGATCTATTGTTCCCCTCACCCCCCATATTCGATTGGAATGGATCGAGCTGACAGCGTACTTTCTGCACTCTCTGCCCCTAGTTAGGTGTCTCAGTTGATTGACACTGCCTGTCACTTCTTGTTCTCTTGATGATGATCAATTCCATCGGGACCATACCGTTGTTTGTTTCGTCCATTCGGATACAGAGTATGGGACGATAATCTGCTTCCTTACCACTCTGTAAGCCTGGATCGATTGACAACTGCCTGCCGATAAAAGTACAGCCAAGGACAAGTCGAATTCTATCCATTGGCGAGCTCATATCAGCTTGGATGGATACCTTAGCTGTAGCTACCTCCTATCGGAAAAAGACATGGCCATCCCTCGCACTCCTGTCAAGAGCGGGCAAGAGCTATATCAATTGATCGAAACCCTCAACGAACAATTTCATCTTGAAATTCCCAATCCTCGAATCTATTCGCCGTCAGTTGGCCGCAATGAGCAGACTCCTCGATGGCGCACGTATAAAGGCCTCAAACGGCTCTACTTCAACCGCGAGGTTGACCTTGGCCGGATCTTGAACGATTTTGAGGAATGGGTCCATTCTCGCTCGACTTCGCATTTGGATACGCGCAGTGGCGTGGGCCGTATATCGCAGAGCCGTTCAGCCTTGTCAAGGAGAGACCAATTGGTGGTTGCGGATCCCACCGTCATTTCTACGCATGAGAAGGACGAGCGCCTTGCGTATCTGCTGAAGCTCGTGGATGACGAGATATACTTGCTGAGCAGAGGCTCGGTCCGCGCCTATGCAGATGGCAGTCGTATGGAAATCTCACCAAGCACGGTGTTCAGGCCGCTTAAGAGAAGAATTCCTGAAGAAGAGGAGGAGGATGACGAAGAGTATCACACCGCTCCCAACTCACCGGTGAAGAACCCCAACGCTCAAAAGCACGCCCCTGTGGATGGCGATGAGCTTGAGTCCCTTGCTATTGGCAGGGACAATTGGAACACTGGTTCCTCGCTAATGGTCAACGAGTCCGTTCATGTCTTTAAGACCCCTATGGTAGTGGATAGAGGGAAAGAAGCATCCCGATTTCTCGAAAAGCTTACCGCTCCAGACAATGTTCGGCGATACGACACGGCTCCTAGTGCGCATGCAGGGCTGAATTTTACCTTCTCCACTGTCGCCACGTCCTTTGGCCGTGAATCCCGGCGCCAGCTTGATACTTCCTTCACCTCGACGGTTACCGAAGCCACTGAGCCCATGTTAGACTCTAATTCTATGTACGAAGACTCAGTCGTGGGGCATTTGATCGGCCACGAGATGAACGTGACCATGGATGATGCAGGAACGGTGACTGAAATGCCTCCCGAAGACGCCCCTCATTCGATTGAGGGACGAATCAGGGAACAGCTCCTGCACAGTGGGCCGTTCTCACTAGAGCAACCCTTTCCAAAGTCGATTCCTCTGCGATATCGGTACGAGCTGGAACGGGTTGGTAGAGCATGGGATGTGCCTTTGGACCGCATGCTAGTTGGGAGCAGCATGTCCTTCAAGTCATACGGTGAGTTCTGGAAGTGGATTGAAGGCCATAATCAGCGATGTGGGAAGCCACTTCCAGAAAAGTCGACCAGCAAAGCATGGGAAGCGGCTACTGGTTCATTCAAGACGGATAAGCACTCGGAGGTCGTAATCCTTACAGGCGCCTTGGACTGGTGCAGTGAGTCGGAACCGGGCATCCTCAGATTCAGATTGAATCCCCTCAAGACGGAGCGAACCTGCCGGTTCCGCCGACGCTTTGGCTCCGATCGATTTCTCAGCTTGACAATGCCTGCGCCGGCCCGGCCACCGCGCCATCTACGCTTCAACTCGCATCCAACACTTTTGCGCGAGAGTCTAGCACTGTGGCTCACCCAGCATGTCCATCGATGCCTGGGTAGGACATGGCGGCCCTTCTACGTGGAAGAGGTCAAGACAAAGCGTAAAGTCAAGAAGACAGAGCCAAGGTTCAGAGTGGAGTTCTTTGCGATCGATGGTGTCGATTTTGTACACAGCCTGGGCACGATGCCATCCGTTGCTCCTCAGGGTCAAGAGAGCGATAGTCATACACCGATGAGTCTGGAAGCGCTGATGGACTGGCACATACCCCTGGAAGCCAATGTGAACCAGTCCAATTGCAAACTGTTTCAGCGGATCTCGCTAGGACTGTCCAAAACTTATGCTACAATTACCTTGAAGCCATGGCAGATCTTGCATCTCAAAGATGTACCGAACCGTCTAGTCATGAACGATGGCTGCGCTCTCATGTCTAGAGGTTTAGCTAATGCAATCTGCGATCAGTTAGGTATCACTGGAAACACCCCTAGCGCTTTTCAGGGAAGGATTGCGGGTGCTAAAGGGCTATGGATGGTGGACCGCCACAACTCTGACATTGCTGTAAGGGGTGATGATTTCTGGATTCAGATATCAGATTCCCAGTTGAAGATCCAGCCGCATCCACAAGCTTGGCGGGAACCGGTCGATGATGAGAAACTCGCATTTGAGGTGGTCAAATGGTCTAAACCCTTGCACCCGGTGGAACTGAACACCCAGTTGCTTGCCATTCTGGAGCACGGTGGACAGATCAGGGAGTATATTGCCGTGCTCACCCGAGCTGGCATTAGGGCGATTTCTCAAGACTTTGCCAGCGTGCTGGAGTCTAACAGTGCTGTGTTATGCCGTAGCCTTATCCAGAAGATCAAGCCTATGGCCGACGATGGCTCATCGGTGATGAGCCAGAGGATGAGACGCCTGGAGCAGTGGACTGCGAACGATGCGGAGGCCATCATCAGGCTTACCGAAGCTGGGTTCGCTCCACGGAGTTTCTACCCCTTACGCAAGCGGCTGGGAAGATGTCTGAGAGACTTGCTTGACAGATATGTGGATGAGTTGCATATCGAAGTCCCGCTTTCCACTTATGCCTTCTGCATTGCAGACCCGTACGGAGTTCTGAAAGAGCACGAGGTACATTTTGGGTTTTCGAACAACTGGCGCGATGCCCGGGGGCAATTCGAGGACAATCTCCTTGACGGCATGGACGTTCTGGTCGGTCGTCTCCCTGCTCACGTGGCCTCCGATATCCAGCGTCGACGGGCCGTGTGGAAACCGGAGCTTCGGCACTTCAAGGATGTCATCGTCTTTCCCACTACGGGTGACGTTCCACTGGCACATATGCTGTCTGGTGGTGACTACGATGGAGATACACCGTGGATATGCTGGGACCAGAACATTGTGCAGCGCTTTCAGAATTCCGACCTGCCTACGAAGGAGTTCCCGCCGGAGCATTTTGGACTCACCAAACATTCGGTGCCCATGAGGGACATACAGTCGACGGACGAGTTTCTTCAGAGTGCCTTTACCTTTAACCTGACGACCTCGAATCTAGGCCGATGCACCGTTGAGCATGAGAAGGTGGCATACGACGAGTCGATTGACTCGGCCAAAGCCAAGGAGCTGGCCTGTCTGCTCAGCCATCTGGTCGACGGCCGCAAAGGAGGGGTGCACCTGTCAGAGCAGGCCTGGCAGCAATACCGGAAGAAGATCAGCCCCAAGGCTCGAGAGGTTCCCGCGTATAAGAACGCGGGACGCAAACACAAGAAAACCAACATCATAGACTACCTCAAATTCGAGGTAGCCCGTAAGGAGCGACATGCAGCGCTGGAAGATCTGCAGCGAGCGTTTCCGGAGAATGACAGTGTGTACGATCGAGATGAGGATCTCGTCCGTCCGTGGAACGAGGCCCAGCGGGAAGCAGAGATCGAGAAGCAAGGGGAAAGCGAGCACGGGCAGCTCCGTGCTGCGCTCAAGTATGCCCAGCGGGAGGTTGAAAGACTCTACAGCCAATGGATCAGCTCTATTTCAGGGGAGAACTCCTTCTCGCCCCTTGCGCGCGAGGCGGCAGAGGAAGCGCGGCAGATCCCTCCACCGTCCCTTGGGGACCATCCGATGATCCATATGTGGCGACATAGCAAGGATGAATGGCTTCGGCTGTTGGCCTCGTACACGTACCGGAAGCATAGCCATGCCAGTTTCACAATCCATGCCTTTGGCGAGATCCTCTGCCAGATCAAGGCAGGCAACTTGCCGTCCCGGTCGGTGACCAATGAAATTCTGGCTTGCTACCGGGTCAATCACAAGGCGATCAGCCAGCTTACGGCGAAGGATGCTGTTGATGAGGAGTCCGATGATGAAGACGAATATGAAGGAGAAGATGCTGTGGAAGCGATGCTGTATGGGATGATGCCTGGTGCATATGAGGACGCCGAGGAGGACGGGATTTCTGTGGAGTGATCGACTACATTTACGTACTTTGTCTAGTCCGTAGGATATATGTGTACACAACTTTGGATTCTCTCCAGACTCTCCAGACTCGCTTGGTAGGTAATATCTACTTAGGTATTCCAAACACTTGATGCCTCGATCCTTGTCGCCTTGGGGAATACAATCACGTGGCACAATACCGCAGAAGGCGGTCAGGCGGCATTGACAGCACCATCACATGTCACGGCAGGCTCCAGAAACGGGAACCGTTGAGAATCAGAAGCCAAAGTGCAAAAGTGCTGGGGTACAGCAAGCGAGACAAGGGGCAAACGCTCAATCCTAGGGAGTCAATAATACCGACAATACCAGCATGTGATGACCATGCCGATGGACTTGTTAAGATCCATCAATCACAGCGAGACTGTCGTCGAGGGATCCGTTTTGGGGGGGTCGATGATGATCATGAACCATGCAAGAAGTGAAGATTGTGGAGAGGGGATGTTCCCGTTCACATTCAGCCTATTTCGGATGACATGGGCTCCTGTCACTACGACTAGATAGATGGTGAAGCCGAAGCAATTATTGTGTGGTAGTAGGATGATATATCTAGGAGTTAGAATAATAATAATATTTTGCAAGAGAGTAAATTCGGGCCCAGTTTCCTCCTCAGGATACCCATCCTGACCGGACACTCTCCGTTGGGCGTCTTCCTTCGACTGTTTCTCTTTTCCTTTCACGTGAAAGCTTGGATCCTGATCAATCACTCGACGCCATCACCGCCCACGCTGAATCCTCATTTCCCACTTCCCACTTCATGCTGCTGCTGCTGGCCATTATTATCTCCCATTTTAACTATTAGGAGCGTCTGTGGTCGTCAATCACATACCTATCTAGGACGAACGCCACCGCTGGTTCAGTTTACGACATACATAGTTGCAGTGACTGTGTTGGGTGCAAACTCGATACGGGGGACCGACTCCGGAGGACCCAAGTAGGGCTATCTAGGACTAATTCTGATCCAGGATACCCTGGTCTTCCGTTGGAATCATAAAATAACACCAGCAAACAGCGCTATTCTCATGGAAGCCCGTCTCGTATCATCTGGCCGAGACGCCGCTACCTCCACCACCACGACGCAAACGCCCTCCTCTTCATCCGCCTCCTCCCCCTTCTCCGCCCCTGCTACGGCTTTCTCCTCTTTTCAGCATGTTCCATCCTCCATGATGGATGTCGATAACCATTCCGTGGCCGACGAGCGCTCTCGTCGGGCCACCAGTGTTCTCTCCATGGATGATATAGAGGCGGCTCAGGCGCTTGAGGGGCTCCGTGCGGGTAATATCTCCTCGCCTCTTGGCTGTCAATGGCAGGCTGACAGAACCATTGATTGCTTTGCAGATTATGGACATCCATCCCCTCGAACTTCAACGCAAAACAATCCCTCCAATGCCCCGTCCGACTCCAAGCCCCAGCCTGAACCCCTCCTGTCCCTACTTACCTCTACCCATCCGCTGATCTCCTCGGCGATCAACGGGTCTATGTCCGCATATACCTCGTCCAAATCATACTCGCCGCGTTTCAAGTCTGGCGCCGAGTTTATCGAGCGCAACATCGGCTCCCCTGTTGCCAATACCGTTGGGACCGTAGGTCGCAAGACCGGTGTTGAGAGCGGTCTCCGTTGGGCACTGCAGCGGCGCGAATCCAACTCCACGGACCCAGCGCAGAAGAGACGGAAAGTAAGTGCCGAGAAGCAGCAGTTGCCAGACGTGGACGTGGAGAAAGGACTCGCAGATGAGAACGACACCATGGACTCCCAGCGCATGCGCAGCTCCTCGGACCTGTCGCACTCCGAGCCTCTTCCGCCATATGACGACAACAAGTCGCCGAACTATGAGGAAATCGGCCGGCCGTCATCTCGCCAGAGCCCGGCCACCTGGCAGAGCCGGCTGGTGATTTCCACGTCCGGCCTGGGCGTCGCCATGAGCGAGGAGTCCCTGCGCAGTTTGCAATACTGCCTGACCTGGCTGCGGTGGGCCAACGGCCGGCTGGGCAAGGCCATCATCGCTCTTCAGGGCGCGATCAAGGAATGGGATAGCGCCAGGCGGGAGAACGGCGAGGGCGACGCTTCGTTGCTGTCGCAGCGTATTCAGGCCGTCAAAGAGGATGTCCTCTCGACCTTGAAACAGGTCGTCGATGTCGTCTCCAAGTATGCCGGCGGAGCTCTACCGGAGAACGCGCGCCACCTGGTCCGTCGCCATCTTACTTCCCTGCCGCACCGGTTCCAGGTCGCCTCGACGTCCCAGCCTCCTCCCGACTCACCGGCGTCCAACTCCGACGCGACGCTCGGCGCTCACCGTATTTTGGTGCTGGCGCAGGAGGGTTTGGACATGATGGCGCAGGTCAGCGGTGTGGTCAATGATACTCTTGTTAGTGCTGAGCATTGGTGCCAAAGACTGGGCAAGAAGCGCCCAGACGGGGACAGCAAGCAGCCGGAGGGTATGCAACCGACCGAGTCCTGTCGGGAGCAGTACCCGGTGGATGTCAAGCAGCCGATCCGTGAGGAATCTCAGGATGTTGCGATGACGGGAACAGAGGAGGTGTAACGAGCTGACTGAAGCGCATTGTGCCTACAGCAGGTACTGTCCATGGACAGCGCTTGGGGCATCAGAATGTGCCCGGGAACGATTTCACTACTGTGGGTAGTGTCAGAAACACTACCCGCGTCTCTCTTTGAGCTGGATTCTCCTTTCCTTTGCAGTATACCTTTTTGACTTCTTGTGACACTTTGACGATTCAAGACTTTTCTCCCCGTATATCTGGTTTTTCATTGGTCGATTGATATCCGCATAGGCACGAAAGACTTGGCGTTGTTTTTGGTTTCTCAGCCGTGATTCAGTCTCTTTCCAGTCTCTTTCCTTACCCTGGTCCCGGCATGCAGCTGGCATGTCATTCGTTCGATTCATCCCGTTTTGCCTTTTACCTCGATTGCAAGTGCTCTTGTACGTAGGCGATGTTTCCTAAAAGCGTTTCAATGACAGCATGTTGGACAGAATCTCGTCTTATTCAAGTTATGTCCCGCTGATCAAACGTACCGCCCTCGACCTCGACCTCGCGGATGAAAGTCTTATATCCCTCCCGCGAACAGTGCAACCTCACTTTGATTGTCCTGGCCGCCGCGGCCCTTTGCCTTCGCCTCTCCTCGACAATTGCCGCCCACTTGAGGCGCACCTCGTCCACCCGCTGCCGCCGCGCCATCCACCTCCGCCTCCACAGCGCCATCTGATACATCGACAGATGCGGATTCTCGTTCGGCGGCCGCACCCCTCTCTTCCCTCCTCCCCTCGTACATCCTTTCCCTGGGTACTCCGCACCCGCAAGCACATCATCCACCAACGCGACCCTCCACCTCCACCGCCGCATCTCATGCACCTCCTCGACATCCCGACACAGCGTCAACACCCCCCGCCGCGAGAGATAATGCACATGAATATGGAAATCAAGCATGTACCGCGCGAACAGCGCCCCGTCTTCGTCCCCTCTGCCCGCTTCCCGCTCCGCCAATTCTCCCAAAGCAGTACTGTAGCTTTCGTGCTGCGCTGGCGTCATCAGCCTTTGATACCCCGGTACCTGCGGCTCTGGCGGTATCGTTCGCGGGGATACGCCGTCTATCTCTGCTGTCTGCGGATGCAGGAAGGGCGGGTCGCGGCGGGGATTGTAGAGGCCTGTGGCGAGGGCTGTGAATAGGGATGGGCGGGGGAGCTGGGCGAGTTTGCAGGTTGTGCAGTGGAGGGCTTCGTCGAGGGAGGAGTTCTATGAACCTTAGTTTAGCATCCTCATTTGTTTTGGCTAGATGTACTTGCCATTTCTTGTTCTTCGGGGTCTGGACGTGCCATTTTGAGAGTAGCATTCATTCGCTGTATATGTATGTTCAATGATCTACGGTATTTCAGAGGAGTTGATTTAGGATCCATCTTATATGCGATGCACAACGAGAATAACAAGAAATGTGACTCCATCACTTGATTTGAATCATTTGAAACAGGCTTGTCCTGCATAGTCATGAGTTTAGACTGCGTATACATTCTTGGTTTCTTGTACTGGCAAGTCAGTTGATCTATGGGGTTGATTCTGTCACATGCCCATGCCCTAGACCATCGCGACAAATGGCTGGCCGCTTGATATTACGCTTCTGCAGTCGTGTGTAACATAATAAAAAGGCTGTTTTAATGAGACCTGCGACATGCCAGGTATCTATGTCTTGCAAGAAAGATATAGTATGTGAGAAGCAGTTGTTGGTTTGCTTAAAGGTCCTAGCAGGATCAGAAGGGTATAGGAGGGTTATGTATACCATTATGAAAATGATATATAACCAATCCAATCTCTATGGGGTATTTTAACCATTTGTGATTATTTCAAACTGAGAAGATGGTCTGAGGGTGTGTGTGTATGTGTGTTGCTTGGTCTATATATAACTTCTCTGAAAGATTGCTTTGGTAGGAAGTCATGCCTTGTAACTGCAGCTTTGTAGAAGAGGCTGATAACTACCATTGTTCAGTGCGGTCTGCAAAAGCCGAGATGAGTTGTGGAACCATATTTCTCATCTGAATTCGAGTCACAGGTATCAAGAATACACGGGAGTAGAAGTGTTGCATGAGTAGATCAGCAAGATGCACTGCGAGTGAATGTCAAATTTGTCAATATCCCCAGAAGCGATAGTTCCTGTGAATCCTTCAAGCATAATTCTACTCACGTCTCGAAGCTCTCTCCTCGGCCAGAAGCCAGGAATCATGGCCGAACCATTATCCGTCAATCTCTTTCCTGCCATCTGCCTGTTCCTGTCATGCATTTTTGTGCTCTGCGTACACTGGAAGACCATATCACGCGCCCTCTCACTATGCCATCCAAGACACTGGTGCCAGCGATGGAGCTACGTCCGAGTAAGAGATCCAGAAACCGCTGCCAGGATGTGAGTATTAACTCCAAACCCTCTCACAACACTTGCAACTTGCTGACCATGTGTTCCGATCCTGCAGCGAGGAAGAGATTGAGATGAGCCCAATTGATCCAGACGCGACCTTGGAAGCTGCCAGCGACGACGACCCTCTAGCCAAATACTTTGATCCGCAAACGTCTGTACTGCACGAGCACATCCTTGCGCCTCCCTCTCCGCCAATACCGACATGGGAGCGAGAGCTCCAGCATCGCATCGACAACGGGCGAGGGCTGACTGCGTCAATAGATCGCTTTGTGGATTGGGCTGTTAAACGCGTCGAGTTGGCGATAGGTCATGCATGAATAAACGGTGTGTTCATGAGCTAGCTGTTCATGGCGGTGTAGTTGAGGCAAGTCTACCGGCCTTAACGCAGTGCAGATGGTTATAATGGAGTGGGCGGCGTTGGTCTGATTCATGATACGCTATTAGTAGGCCAGGGTCCCTGCAGGATTAAATCTGCGAGGCTTTGTGGCGATCACGCCAATTGCTCATAGACGACGTTCAATGATTTCTGGTGCAAATGAAGCCAATCGAACTCCTGCCACTCACCCTCCGAAGTCCATACAAATACCCTGTTAGCCTGAAACACCTGAAATGATATGCCAAGATGTTTGTTCATTCGTCTATCATGTATATACTCTATCAGATCAAATGCCGCCCAAAAGTAATGAAATGCTATAACCCAGCTGACCCAAATTTATGGTGCGCAGTAACCACCGTCGACAACGAGGTCAGCACCGGTGGTGTAGCTGGCAGCATCCGAAGCCAGGTAGAGGTAGGCACCCTTCAGCTCTTCAGCACGACCTTCCCGACCCATGGGGATCTTGTCCTTCCAGATGCTCTTGGTCTCCTTGGGCACGAAGTTTGAGATCTCTGTAGCGATGTAGCCGGGAGAGACAGTGTTGGCGCGGGCGAACTTGACCCACTCCACGGCAAGAGATTTGCCTGGGCTGTATTAGCAACGTTCATGAATGTGCATCCAACCTGCCAAAACTTACAAAGGTGGATCACAGCCGCCTTGGCAGCGTTGTACGCAGCCTGCATCTGAGGGAAGTTCACAATGTGGCCACTCATGGAGGCGGTGGCCACAAAGCTGCCATATGTGAAGTTGGAAAGCTTGTTGCCGTTGATATCGGTTCCCTCCTCCTTCTGCCTCCTCCAGTGAGCAGCGGCGTACTTGGCGCAGTAAAAGGTGCCGTTCAAGTCAATGTCAATCACACTAGAGTAGTGGTCAAGAGGCCCATCAACCATGGGTCCCTTGGTCCACGGGATACCCGCGTTGGCAATGAAGACGTCCAGACGGCCATTGAAGTCCTTCACAGTCTGATCAACCGCCTCCTGGACAGCCTTGGCGTTTGTAATATCGACCTGGTAAGCCTTGGCTGTGAAACGTTAGGTTCTCTTTGCCCCATCTATTTGACGGGAATAGATTCAACTATGAGCTTGTACTCACTCTGTACACCATACTTGGAAGCAATCTCAGCCGCCCGCTCAGGACACTTGGAGTTGGTGCCCCACCACAAGGCAACGTTGGCACCTGCTTCAGCCAGACCCTGAGCCACGGCGAGACCAATGCCAGCACCGGCACCCGTGACAATGGCAGTTTTGCCCTTGAGAGAGAACATCTGCATCAAGCTCGGATGTTCCGGGGCGGAGGTGTTTTCGTGTACAAAAGCACCACTCTGATTGACTGGGTTGGAAGCCATTGTGCAAGATGGTGGAGTAGAAAAGGAATAAAGTACAATCTATTGAGAGAACGATATTGAAAAGGGGGAGAATGAAGAAACACAAAATAGCAGCCGTCTATTATATAGGAGGGGCAGAAGCTATGGAGATAGCATCCAGCTATACGGAGTAGAAATACTAGCATCAAGCGGTGTGACAGGATGGTGGGGTCAGCCAGGATAACACTGCTGCTCTTCCATCTTCATGATAAGACATTTGAAAAAGGTTATTAACCCCCGAGGAGCTGCACCCCTCCAGGCACGTCTATGCGTCCAGCAGCTCAGTGGGACCTTCAGGTTTCAGCACAGCACAGCGTCTGGCCATTGTGGATCGACTGAACCCATATGACGATACGCGGCCCCAAAGCAGCCAGCCCGACACCGCGTTAATGCGGGTGGCTGAACATAATCCGCGGGATTGCTTCTCGAGAGAAGCTTCTCGGAGAAATCTCGAAAGCTGTGAGGTCAGTCTTCATTTCAGAAGTAAAACGAGGCTCCATGATCTTCTGATATCAGAAATTCAATAGCCACAACAGTGAATGCCTGTCTGCTGGTTCCTGAAGCTCAGAATGAGGATACAAAAGGTCAAAGGGTTGAGGGGGAGACTGGATGCTGTGGGTCGTTTCCCCGTGATTGCGGCCCTCCCGATCGGAGGTCGGATTCCCGAATCAGGACAGCCGCTAATCACGTGATTTATATGATACTGATAAGAGTCAAAACAACAACAATTGGCCGCATGGGTTCTTTGGGCTGGCTATTGTTCTGCATACCAAATCTTGAGTTCATATTAAACAGGCTATGAGTAATATTTGTCAAGTTCACGGGCCTGCGAGTACTCATACTTTTTCTCAGACAACGACGATTCTGCTCTGGCCATACTGTCGCAGTTAAGAGACGACACGCGGCCACAGTATGCGAACATACAGATGATCATTCCGGACAAGATCATGCCATCCAATCAACTCGAAGAGTTATGCTGGCTTCAGAATGTCCGATTTTGGCTTTATTCTGTCCTGCATAATGGTCGGGACAGTTTGCCTAGCAACCAGCACAACCGCAGTTCTTCTCTCTGGGGGACCATGACACAGGGGGTCAGATTTTACCGTGATATGATCTGGGTTCTTACTTCTCAAGCCTATACAGATCAAGCGCTTGTCATCTGCACTGATTACAAGATGAGGGCCAGCCTGTACAATGACGAGCATTCCGCGCGTCCGCCGCAATGTGGCCACACATTCCTCTGCTTCAGCTTGATTCCCCCTTAACAAACGCACAATCCTCCGGGGTACCACAATTTCCATCCTGTACTGAATCCGTTCCTTTTGCCTCCTGGATTTGTCGCCCACAGGGGTGTTGGTCTGCTTCACCATTCATCCAAGGACATCAGATCCAGACCGATCTAAGCAACTTCTGTCACTGAAACGAGCGATGAAAAGGTCCGGCCTGCCTTGAGCGTTGATCAGCATCAGTGTCTGCTCACTTGGCGGAAGGGGCGAAGGCGACTGACGATGCCGGCGCTGGCCACCGTGATCGCGGTGGCTGCTGTGTGCGCCGCTCTTTTCATCCTTTCCGCGGTGGTGGGAACACTCATCTGGATAAAAGCCCGTCGGGAGCGACGTTCACTAAAGGCAGTCAGCGATGGTCAGGGTCGATACGCTAGGCAGTTACGAGCATTCGAAGCCGACACGGCGACATCACTGTCTCGGGAAGAGGGTTCTGCCCTGAGACTATACGGACAACTGCCATACGGAAAACCAAATGAATGGGGCGTTTTAGCTAGTCGGGAAAGCCTCATTTACTCCACAGTGGACTCAGAAGCATCTTCTCCACTCGCCGAAAAGGCTCGTTCGCTGGGCCGTTCACTTTCACGATCAAAATCAACCCGGCAGCTGAAAGGTCTGCTCAGATCGCGGCCTCCGGGTCCCCTTGCTCCCCTTGCAGAGACAACCGAGAGACCGTGTGACAAAGGGTCTAGGTCTAGGGCCAAAGACCATGTATCCGTCTCGGCAGTCGAAGGTGCCCTTGAATTACCGACAGAGATGACACCCAGACACACGCCGGAAAAGGAAGAAGAACGTAGCCTCGCCGAACCATCAATCCGGCCACTGTCAGCGGCGATGCCTTCGGTGCATAGAAGAGAGCGTTCGGGCACCCTCTTCCCAGTTATGGAAGACCATCATGAAGGGTTCGAACTGCATTTTACTCGAGTACGAGGTGGAAGTATTACGACACAGACAGCCGGTGCCATCCCAGAACAGCCGGTGCCGCCTCCGCCGTCGGCTTATCCCCCAAACCGATTCCGCCTTTCAAAGAATGATTCGATGCGGTTCTCATCGTTGAGTCTGGAGACGGCGGACAGCTCCATCTTGGAGGACAGCCGGAGAACTTCGACTGCTATCGAGAGTGATTTCACTTCACCAGCATTGCCTCCTTGCCCAACTTTCACACCTTTCAGCGCCAACGATGTCGGCCGCATGGAATCTGAGCGGCGAAGTTTCGCAGCATCAAACTCAGCATATCCTGCACCATTCATCTTTCCTACCACATCACCTAGCCGTGAAGCTCTGAGGCTGGAACCGAACCGTACGTCGCCTCGCCGCAGTTTAACTGCACGTAGTCCTAGCCAAACAGAGCGCGTCAGCCCTCCTCCTAGGAGGAGTGAATCTCTTTGCTCCAACCAGTCCAGAAGGGAGGTCACCTCCATGCCGCACCTGGACCCGAACATGACCCCGCATCTGAGTGCAACAGGCTACAGCGGCTCGCTGCTGCCTTACTTCAGTCAGTTGCACCGGCACTCCATGTACGCAAATAGGCGTACGGACGGAGATCCTTTCTACGGCGGGCGCGCGAGTTCACAGATCTCAATCCACCCTCCTCGAGCACCCGCAAGGAGGGTTAGCAGTCTTTATGTGCCAGAACTATCTACACAGGTCAACTCGGACAATGCTCCTAAGCCACCGTTGACCTCCGCCTTGAAGAATACCCAAGGTCATCGAAAAGGCCACAGACGTCAGAACTGCGTCCGAATCTCGATCCACCCTCCAATCACCTTTGGGGGCCCTGCATTCTCGCCAATGGCCGAAGAGCCCGAGGAGCTGGAAGACATGAGCCGGCGCAGACCAGAAGCTCCGCGTCCGACCAGCTACAGTGTTCCCTCGATGAATTCAAGTGTTGTCACCTTCTCCGCGAACAAAAATAACTCGTGCGACTTCCAAAGACCCCGGCCACGAATCACAGATATCTGCTCTACTCCTGACGGAAGCCCAACCAAGAAAAGAAAGCATAGCAGAGCTGACTCGAGCGACGATTTCTTGAGCCCTGCGGGGAGCGACAAGTCTCTACCAGAAATCATGACATCTCTACAGTCCAGCAACGATGGTTCTCTATCACAGACACCGTCTCCTGATAAGAATGCTCCCCTCTGGATACTTCCCATCCATGCAAGCTCGCCGACATCCCGCGAGAATGCATCACCGCAAACCAGTCCGCGTCGTTCGGCAGTCAAGGGGCCACGCACGCTGCCAAGTAAGATGGCGCACAGCAATAGTCCTCGCTCCGTGGTTCCACTCGAGGAGAAC